TGCCAGCTCTTGTACACAAAATGAGAAGGAACCTTACTTAGACCCTAATCACACATTCCTTTTCCTCTACTGCAGTGGTTCTCAACCTTCCTAATGTTATGACCCTTTAGTACAGTTCCTCATGTTGTGGTAACTTCCAACAATAAAGTTATTTTCATTGTTACTTTATAACTGTAATTTTGCTACTGTTATAAATCATAATGTGATTTAATATAAATGTAATCTGATATGCAGGACATGATATTTGACTCCTGTGAAAGGATCGTTCCCTCAAAGGGATTGAGACCCATAGGCTGAAGACTCTGATGGAGCTGAACAGAGTTCTCTTTCCTTTTGAGACAGGGTCTCATTGTGCAATCCTTGCTGCCTGGGTATTCACTATGTAGACCAGGCTGGCCTTGAAGTCACGGAGATTTGCCTGCCTCTGCCTCCACGGGCTAGGATTAAAGGTGATCACTACCAAGCCTAGCTCATGACACAGTCCTTAACTGGAGAGATACTCTGTGACCACACTGAAAAGGGATCCACCCCAGTGGAAACGGGTCCTGACCACCTTCCTGCTATGACTTAAGGATCCCTGTCTGAGGAACCAACATCACAACTGAAGCCATGAATATCCATCAGTCACTCAGAACAGCTTGTAGGAAGCATCAGGCACCGAGAGGCTCAGCACTACACCTGCCACTCCTCACCCCTTCCTTCAGCTGTGCATCAGCAACTAAGACTCCAAGGCTTAAGGACTTGAGCAGAGGCAGAACCTAGCTGGACTGCAGCACGTGCCCTTCAGTTCCCCAGGACCCACGACAGACTTCTTTCCTTGAAGCCCTGCAGCCCACACAGGCCTAGCTCCCTCCTCCACAGACACAGTGCCTCAGGAGGCCATTAGGGCAGGCCACTGAGTCCTCACCCACACAGCCCATCGTCACCACCCCGTCCTTGTAGCGCTCCCTGGAGGGGCCCGAGGGCTCCATCGCCGAGTCCGTCTGCTGCTCCACCAGGACTGCTGGCCCATCTTCCTCTTCTTCTTCCTCCCCAGAGCCGTTACCCCAGGAAGCCCCAGCCACATCCCTAGCGATCTTCTCACGCCAGCTGTTCAAGTCCACTGCTCGAAGAAAAAGAAAAAAATAAAGGGGTTTCCCTCACCCCCAGGCCTCTATGGATAATGCACAGCTAATGTCACCAGAATTCCTAAAAATCATAGCAATGTCAGTGTGTCCTGGAAATTCCCCAGTCTCCACTGGACCCCACTCTGGAGTTACAGACATCTCTTCTTCAAAGCCTCTAAGAAAACTGGGGGAAAACTCAAGCCATGGGGGCTCCCGTCCACCTTCTGCCTCTGTCCTGCCCACCATAGAGGCTGCTCCTTATTCCACAACTTTCCAAGACATGAGTAATAGAGGGATATGGAGAAGGGAACCCTGGAGCAGCCCCCAAAGCCTTCCACAGGCCCCTCCAAGGGCTCCATACCTTTCCCCACAGTGATGGCCTCGCAGGCTCTCAGCAGCTGCTCTGGCCCCAGCGCCCGAGTCCATCCTCTCCCCCGCCTCCGATTCTTCTTCAAGACTGAGATAAAAGGGTGAAGATGCATCTCATCTCTCCTACCACCCTGAAGCCTCAATCAGGTTCACTTACCCGCGCCACTCACCTCCCTCTCCACAGCACCTTCTCCATAGCCCACTCACCACTACCAGGCTCCTGTGGAGTTCTAGTGTCCCGAGGGAAGGAGGTGAACAGGACAATGTGGAGCTGGGGGTAGTGCTGGTGAAAGTAATGCTTCCAGGCAACCACGAGGGACGGCGGGGCCAGATCCACCTTGTTCAAGACCAAGATCAGGGCCAGCCCAAGTTCTCCAGTTACATACTCATAAAGTGCTGGTGGAAAGTTCACAACCTGTGACAGAGTTGGTGAGAAGTGACCCCAGAGTCTGCTGGCTCTGGCTCCCCATTACCCGCACAGCAAAAGATGCAAGGCCCCGGCTCAAGTAGCTACAGTAAGGGCGGAAATATAAACCAGCCACACTGGACAAGAAAGGCATTGCAGGTGTGACAGCCTGGGCAAGTCCCAGGGTGCTTCCTGCAGGTCATGAGGAGAGAGAGAAAGAGAGAGAGAGAGAGAGAGAGAGAGAGAGAGAGAGAGAGAGAGAGAGAGAGAGAGAGCGCACTCTGGCCAGCAGGGGAATGTCAGGCTATGCTAAGAGATGAATACAACACTGAGTTCCTCAGGATGGGGGTACAGCTCAGTAGTAAAGCTCAGGCCCAGGGTTTCACCCTCAGCAGAACAAAATGAAAGGAAAAGAAAAGTACTCTGACTGAAGACTTTAACTCAAGGTATAAAAAGAAAGTAAGAAAGCCGCAGTAACCCCAGTGCCTCCAAAGGAGGACAGGAGGATCCCTGGGGCTATTTGGTGAGCTCGAGGCCCGGTAAGAGAGCCCACAAAACAAGGTGGCACTGCGCCGTCTGAGGAAGACAGCCAAGGCTGACCTCTGGCTTCAAGATTCCAAGCATACATCCTAGAAACGGAATGGCCAGCCCCTGGACACACACTCATCAGAAAATTGAAAAAGACCCTCTATTTTGCCACTCCCGCCTTTGACCACCCTCACTAGAGTCTCCCTTACAGACCTTTCCAAGCACTCACCGGATGTCGGATGTCAGTGATGAGCAAGACGATGTCAGACATCTCTAACACCCGCCACAGCTGCCTCCATGTCTGAAAAGATCAAAAGGGAATATGGCCTAGGGTCCTTCTCCTGCCGAGCACAGAACACTATCTAGGACCACAGTATGTCAACTCCCGACCCCACTCCACTGTCACCTCCAGATTGTGCTCAAAGTAGCTGAGTTTCTCGGAAGCGTACGCGCCATGTATCTTCCCAAGGTATTCCTGGAAGCTCCGCTCCTCTTGGCTCATTAGCTGTTCCTTGGACATCTCATAGTTCCAAGGAGGACGGCGGGGAAAGTCCAGGACTGCGAAATGAGGAGAAAGCCCGAACAAGCATCAGCACTGTTTTCTTTCTTCTTTGAGACAGGGTTGCTCTGTGTAGCTTTGCGCCTTTCCTGGAACTCACAGAGATCCGCCTGGCTCTGCCTCCCGAGTGCTGGGATTAAAGGCGTGCGCCACCGCCCAGCTATTCTTTCTTTCTTTCTTCTTCTTTCTTTCTTTATTTATTTGAGACAGGGTTTCTTCTATGTAACAGCCCAGGCTGTCCTGGAACTCGCTTTGTAGACCAGGCTGGCCTAGAACTCACTGAGATCCTCCTGCCTCTGCCTCCCAAGTACTGGGATCAAAGGTGTGGGACACCACCAGGCAGCGTTTTTGTTTTTTTTTTATTTTGTTTTTCAAGACAGGGTTTCTCTTGTGTATCCCTGGCTGTCCTGGAACACAGTCACTATGTAGTCCAGACTGGCCTTGAACTCAGAGATCCGCCTCTGCTGGGATTGAAGGCGTGTGCCACCACCACCCGGCTAGGACTTTTTTTCCAACTCCAACATGCATCTCGAGCCCTCCTTTCCTCGCAGCCGGCTGGTTCCCCAAGCTGACAGCAAACCCCAAGTAACCCTCGCTCACCTGAGCCAGGCTGATAGACTTCCCGGATATCCAGCTCGAGCATTTCAGCACTGACAGGCTGCAACACTTGCTCTCTGGCTGCTCTCTTTCTCCTCTCCACCTCCTCCCGGCTGTCCCGTTCAAAATGCAGCCGGTATCTAAGGGAAGAGGGAGCACACATCTCGTCGTCGCCTCTCCAAAGCAGGCAACTTTGCAAAGCCTCCTCCCCTGGCTGTTCAGGTCTCCTCTCGGTTGGCTCTTCCCCCGCTCCCCTCCCAATCCCCCGAAAACAAACTCTTGACAGCCCCTCTGGAAAGCAAGATTGTGGCCCATCCCTGACTGAGAGAACCACCCTGGCTTCCGGCCTCACTAGCTCCACTTCCAAGCCTTCCTCAGGAGCTCTTCTAGGGCAGGGAAGCGGGGGCCAGCGCCCTTCTCCTTCGCTCACCGGTTGGGATCGTAACCTCTGGGCCCCAGCCCCTGGGATGGTTGCTGGTTGAGCCTGCGGATATGATGGGTCACGGATTCCCCATCCGAGGTGTCGGTCTGCTCCTCCCGCCGCTCCCGGCTCCCGCTGCGGCTGTTGGAACTGGAGCGAAGCCCATCTTGGAGCCCTGAGGGGAGGGACCGGTGACGCCAGTGTAGACCGGTTCTCGGGACACCCAAAGCCCCCCGAGCCGGTAGGACAAGCTCTTCTTCAGCCGCCCCAACTTCTCCGGAGGCTCCATCCTCCCAACTGCGCGCCCCAGGTCCCTCCCGGGTGGGCCCGCAGGTCGTCACAGAGTCCCGGTGGCCCCAGCGGGGCCTCCCCTCCCCCAGCCCCCGCACACCCCGCGCCGCTGCGGGGCGCCCCCACCGCGGCAGCCCACGCGGGGCCGCGAGAGCCCGCTCCCCCCACCCTCCCGCCCGCGGTGCGGCGGCACACCCCTCCTCCCGAGCTGCGCAGCGGCCCCGCCCCCTCCCTGACCTCGCTTCCGCTCCCGCTTGTCCTGCAGCTGCTTCTTCTTCTGCTTCACGCTGAAGGGCTTCTTCCTCGGCATGGCCCCGGCGCCCCGGACCGCCCGCCGCCGAGCTCCCCGCCGCCGCAACTGACTCCCCGGGCAGCCCCCGCCGGCGGCCCGGGGCCCTGGGGAGGCGGGGCCGCGGTGACGTCAGGGGCGGGGCGGCGGGGAGCGGGGCGGCCGGGATGCCAGCGGCACGTGAGAGCCCGCTGCTCCGGGATGCGCGGCGCGGGGCGGCGAGGCGAGCGGCAGGCGAGCGTGGGAGGCCCGGGCCGACTCCGTCACGGGCGCTACCAAGTGGCCGTCGCGGGAGGGGGGACGAGTGTCATCACCGCCCGGAGCTCCCAGGAGCTGCCACTCACCTGGCGGGGGGCGGGCGAGGGGGCGAGGACACGCCTCTCTGCGCGGCGGCCGCCGGGGACCGCCCCTAGCTGGGGAGCCGGAGCTGTGCGGCCGCGCGGGCCGCCGCTCGTGCCGGGCTGCGGCTCGTGGACTCGGGGAGGGTGCTGCCGGGCGGCGGGCTTACAGCCCACACGTGCAAGCGCGGGCGAGGAGGAAACGCAAGCGGGACAAGGACTTTTGGAGAGAGGTCAGAGAGCACCGAGTTGTGACTGCAGGCGTTGCCATGGTAACTGGGGGACCGGATGTGGCGACCTTAGGGTGCGACGGGGTTCTCGCTGGCCGCCCGAGGCCCCAAGTCTGTCGAGTGTCTCGCTGTAACGCGGCGGGGGTGCTTTTCCACGTGGGGAGAAGACTTGGGCAAGCAAGTAGGAACTACACAAGGGAAGCAAAGCCTCCCCACGAGCGGCACCGCGAGCCAGACCCTCCGTGGGAGAAGACGGCCGCGGAGCCACAACCTGCCGGAAGTGGCATGGCGAAAGCCTCGGGCTCCCGGCCCACCGCCCACCCGGAAGCGGAAACAAACCCAGTGTGCCCCTTCCTCACTGCCCTCCAGATCCTGCTGCAGCCATTGCTGCCGCAGCCACGATGCCCAAACGCAAGAAGCAGAATCAGCAGCAGCAGCCGCCACAACATCCTGCGCTGTCCGACCGGGACGAGCCTGGAGACGAGGAGGATGAGAGTCCCATTGGTGAGGGGGAAGGCGTGCACATGCCTGTCAGCCGGCCCGGGGCTAGGCGAGGATTGAGGTGCGGGGGAGGGGGCTCTAACGGAAGGAGGAAGGGCGCACGCGTGGAGGTGGGAGGGGGCGGGGGAGGGGAGGGCTGCTGGTGGAACCTTGAACGAGGTGTTCGTTTGCGTGAACCCTCAGTCTCAGTCTGGCTCCGAACCCTTTCTGGAGAAGGCAGGGGAGGTGGCGGCTGAAGATCTGGCTTGCGCAGCCGCAGAATGGCGGGGGAGAGGGGTGGCAGCGATATTACAGATTGTGATGACCGGGAAGACAATTTGTGACCACACTTCCACTGGTTAGGTGAAAGTGCAGCCTTCTGTGAACTACTCCCCCGAGGGAAGGAGAGGAGAAAAAACTATGATGGGCCACCAGTTAAGGTGAGGGATTGGGGTCTGTGGGATCACTGGGCGTGTTGTGGATGCAGCACTGTGAGGAAAGAGCTGTTGGAGACCTGTTACTCTCTGATGGAATCTCCACGGTTTTGCTCAGTCTCGAACAACTCTGCAAGAGGGTCGGGCAGATGGACGGGGTGAGAGATTGCGGCACTGCTGAGTGGATATAGCTACCTTTACTGGTTAAAAAAATGAGTGTTAAAGACCACATGATGAACGAGATGACTGGTCCTTTGCACCGTTCTGATGACCGTGTTTTCACGTCTGCTCTTAGGACCACCCAGCCTTCTGGGCCCTCCCCCCATGGCTAATGGAAAGCCTGGTGATCCCAAGTCAGGTGAGGAGAAATGGGCCCTGATGTGTGTTTTAAGTCCTGGAGAATGGATGGAGAAGGGGAAAAAGAAATCAAAGACTTTAAAAACAAAAATCCAGGGATTGTGTACCTAAATGAGTGTTCATGTATTAACGATTTGGAAACATGGGGTTGTCAAATTCGGTTTCCTTTCAGATTAACTCCTAGGTCTGAGGCTTTCACGGTCTATCTCTATTCCATTTGTGTAGAAATAAACATTTTCTGTTATAGAGAAACAGAGGCTCTAAATGGGACACTACCGAGATGGTCCAAAGTGGGAAGACATATAAAGATTTGGTGTAAAACTATAGTAGCTGTGACATTGTGGTTTTCACAGAATAACCTACATAAGTTTGTAATACTTGAGAGACTGAGGCAGGAGGATCAGGAGCTCCTAGCCAGCCTCTCCTACATAGCAAATTAAGACTAGCTAGCCTGGGCTACATGAGACCCTGTCTGAATGGAATCAGGGGCCTGTAAATATATGAACACTTACGTCTGAAGATGAAATCAAGGAAGTGGTCCTGTCAGTAATAATGTCTTCACTGGACATTTGTGGAAAAGTATGAACTGTGTAGTAATACCAAATAAAGACATCGTCTAAGTAAACTGTAAAACAGGAATAAAATAAAAGGAACTGAATGTTTCATGGCCTTAGAGTAGCTAAGAGTTTGTAAACAACACACAGACCAGGCAAAGTGGCAGCAGAGGGCCTGGGAGTTCAGGGTCAGCTTGGCCCACAAGGAGACATACTGGGGAGGTGGTCCAGTTGATAAAGTGCTCGCTTCAAAAGCATGAGGACCTGACTTCAGACCTCAGCAGCCATCTAGAAAGCTGGATGATGAGGAGACAGAGGTAGGCGGACTCTAGGGCTTGCTGGCCAGTGAGTGTGGCTGAATCAGTGAGACCCTATCAGTGTCTGGCCCCTATGCATACATACACTTGTGCTAATTATAAAGGAAAGATTTGTAATTGGAACTACATCAAATAATACAAATTTCTGTTAATCAAATAACACTGTTAGCTAGCCATGAGACCACATAACTATTATAGTAAGCAGTTTAGAGATTTGTTAGAAAACTAAAAATAAGCTACATATAGTAGCATATGTCTACAATTTTGGAGGATGAATCAGGAGAATTGTAGCAGTTATGAGGCTAGCCTGGACTAAAGAGAGACCCTGTTTAAGAAAGTAAAAGTGCAGAACTGCCATACAAGCCAGCAGTTCCACTTCAGGATGTACATGTACAAGAATTGAAAGCGTGGTCTTCAGGTTGGATTTTTTTTTTTTTTTTTGGTTTTTTCGAGACAGGGTTTCTCTGTGTAGCTTTGTGCCTTTTCCTGGAACTCACTTGGCAGCCCAGGCTGGCCTCGAACTCACAGAGATCCGCCTGGCTCTGCCTCCCGAGTGCTGGGATTAAAGGCGTGCGCCACCACCGCCCGGCTAGGTTGGATTTTTTGAGACAGATGCTATGTAGCCTGGGCTGCCATCGAGCTAACAAAATGTATGCATTTGATGCAATATTGCTTCATCTTACAAAGGAAGAAAATGTTAGTGTTGCAGCATTGGTAAATCTTGAGAACACTATGCTAAGAAAGTAGGCACATGGAAATAAATGCATGAGTTATACAAAGTCAGATGCATAGAAACAACAGAGTATGGGCTCCTGGGGCTGTTGGAAATGTAAGGGCTTGTTCAGAGGATTCTGTTTCACAGCACATGAACTTATAGTATTGAACCATATACTTAAAAATAGCTGATCTAAGCAGGTGTGATGGTACAAGCCTGTAATCTCAACAGTCAGGAGGTGGAGTAGGAGGGTCTCTGAGGCAGGAGGTGGACAGGCCGGCCTGTTCTATAGAGGGTTCCAGGACACCCAGGACTACACAGGAAAGCCCTGTCTTGAAAAACATAGTTGAGGTGAGCCAGGCTGACAAGACAGCTCTGTAGCAAAAGTACTTGCCACCAAGCCTGACTTGAATCCTCGGCCCCAAGTAGTGTAAGAACTGAATTTCACAAGTTGTCCTCACACATGCACCTTGGTACCTGTGTACACACAGTCCACGCACACATAAATAAGATAGAATCATTTTAAAAACCTTTCTTGGGGCTAGAGAGGGGTTGCTAAGTGGTTAAGAGTACTGTGGCTGGGCGGTGGTGGCGCACGCCTGTAATCCCTGCACTTGGGAGGCAGAGGCAAGCAGATCTCTGTGAGTTCGAGGCCAGCCTGGTCTACAGAGCTAGTCCAAGACAGGCTCCAAAGCTACAGAGAAACCCTGTCTCAAACCCCCCCCCCCCCAAAAAAAAAAGAGTACTGTGGCTGCTATTACAGAGGACCTGAATTCCATTCTTAGCACCCGTGTGGCAGCTCACTACTCTCATGCCGGTCCCCTTTTTTGGCCTGCAAAGGCACCAGACATGAATGTGGTACACCAGCATAAGCTCAGACTTGAACACACTATACTTACTGAGCAATATCCTCTGCCTCGTGTGGTCTGAACAGAAATTTGTAGTACATGTAAATGTTCATAGCGTTTTAATTACAGCCACACAGTGGACACGCACATGTCCACCATCAGTAGAGTGGACAGGTTGTGATGCATGTGATAGGATACTATGCTGCAAAGAAAATTAACCAGCTACCACTGCAGACAACTTGAATGAATCTCATGATTAATGAGAGAAGCCAGAGTTAAAAGTCAAGCAAAGATTCACAACCTATCACGTTAGAAGTCAGGATAGTGGCTACCTTCTGTGAGAGGAAAGGGCATGTGGATGGCTCTTTTGAGGCTGACGATTAGCTCAGTAGTAGAGTACACAAGGTTCTGGATTCAATTCTTGGCACGGGGTTAAAAAGGCTGAGAAAACTAGTCTCTTTGCCTGTGTGATGGAAGCCCAGGTAAAGATGTGATCGTTGGCTTGTGTTCTTAAGTGGGGTGTCAGAATGCTTTAATGTGGCGAGTAGGGGAGGGGCTTTTGTCAGAAGTTAGCTGCCCAGCAATCACCCTCCCTGTCTTTCTCTCTGTAGCTCTTCACAGAGGTCCTCCAGGATCAAGGGGACCAATGATTCCACCACTGCTGAGTCTCCCACCTCCTCCCCGGGGTAGAGGCCCTATTCGAGGAGGCCTTGGTCCTAGATCTAGCCCGTATGGTCGTGGTTGGTGGGTTGTCAATACTGAACCTCCGTTTCCTGGGCCAGGCCATGGGGGGTCCCTCTAGGGAAAGCTTTTACAGAGAGCCAAGACATCCACGAAGGCTCAAAAGCTGGTCTCTTGTCAAGAACACCTACCCACCTAAGAATAGCCCCCCGGTGATAGAAGGTAAGGCCCACTTTGCTGTGCCTGTGCCTGCCCTGCATGCCTCTGGTCTCTTCTCCTTTGGGCTGTCTCTGGGCAGCATTGAGAATTAATGCATGGCCTTTCCTGGGTTAAGGATTCCTCTACCACTGAGCTGCCAGCCTCATAGCTGACAGATACAAGTAGGAGATACAGGTAGCTCTGAACATTTTTCTTCCCTTAGAAAGAATGTCTTTCCAAAATGTTTGGTGGTCTGGGAGTCTTGCTCAGTGGTTGAGCAAGTTGCGTAGCATGCTTGAGGCTCTGCGTTCTACCCCTAGCCCCCAAGATAGAAAAAGCCAAAATACTTGTAAACAATCTGTGGTCGAAACCTCAGCTTTCTCTCTGTATTCTATCTCATTTCTTTCTTAGGGTTTCTGGGGGGGTAGGGAAAGAAATGGGGTTTTTTTTGTTTTTTGTTTTGTTTTGTTTTGGCGGGGGGGGGGGGGGGGGGGGGGGGGGGAGATGGACAGGTTGACTTCAAACTTGTGACAGTCTTCTGTCTCAGCCTCCTGAATGTCCATGTCCTGAATGCTGGAGTCACAGGTGTGAGTCCCCTCGTCCAGCTCTCAGAGCTGTTAACCACGGTTTTCACTTGTTCACAGACAAATCTGACCGCCCTGTCTGCCGACACTTTTCCAAAAAGGGCCACTGTCGATATGAAGACCATTGTGCCTTCTACCATCCAGGCGTCAACGGGCCTCCTCTGTGAGACTGTGCCTTCCCACCCATGCTGGAAGGAGCCCCTGACCAGTGGCCCCCTCGCAGCTACTTGAAGGCCCTGCTGTCGTCACCTTCAGTCAGTGACATGTCCACCCCATTCATCGTCTCCCCCATGGGGTCCAGAGTTGTGATTATCACTGGTGTGCGGTGCGCATTGTCTTCTGATCCAGGCTTCAGAGACTTTTGGGACCCCATCTTGCTCCCTCCCACTGCCTCCTGCCAAATGACTGCTGAACAGGAAACCATTGGTGCTGTTTCTTGTGCATCCGCCCACCTGTCTCCCAGTATTGCCCTCAGTTCCCAAGAGCCCTGGAGCAGCCTTCTGTCCTCTGGCTGCTGTTTTAAGTCCTTTGCCGTGAAGCCCCAGTGTTTGCAGCTGCCCGGACACGCACCAGGTTGTCTGTCCTTGGGGTCAGGTTTGAGTGACTGGTACAGACTTGCTTCCTGAACAACCTCCCCCTGCTTCTGGATGTCCTAGTTTCTTGTCATTAGCATGAGCCCCACCGCTAAGGCCTGTGGTCACTGTGCTTTGTGGAACTGTGCATCCCCTTGTAACCTTCCTGAGTGTCGCCTTCCTGAGTGTCTGTGGCATTTTTGTGGCTTCCCAACACTAGATAAGTTTTTCTGCCAAATGGAGCAAGGCTCTCGGTGCCCTCCAGGCCTCACCTGCCTCCCAACACGGGGGAGTGTGAGACTTCCTCAGACTGCCTTCCCCTTGTGCCCTCTCTTCTGGCCCAGGCCAGTGATGTCGTGTAAAGCCTCGGGCGGGTGGCACAGGCCAGTGATGTCTTGTAAAGCCTCGGGCGGGTGGCACAGGCCAGTGATGTCTTGTAAAGCCTCGGGCGGGCCTCCCACGCAGCCTCTGCCTGGCTCGTTTTAGTTAGGCCCTATCATTGTGAGGCCACCAGCCCTTTCATTTGAATTCTGTGAATCTCCACCTGGCCTTGGCTTGTCTTTGGGTGGAGCCTGGACAGTACCGTCACCTCTGACTCACGTCCCTGGCACTGGCTGTTTTCTGTGAAAACAGCAGTGAACTTGTTGGGTTTTGAGCTGGCCCTGAGGAAGTGGGTCAGGAGGTGTATGGACAAGGAGTGAGGAGGTGGAGAACTAAGAATGATTTTTTTTTAATTTTTTTTTTATATTAGTAATAAACACAGTGGAAACGGCATTTCCCTTGTTTCTGTGTTTCAGCCGTCTCTGAAGTACAGGTGAGGCTGGTAGGGAGTCCCCTCGCCCCACATAGTTCATCAGAGGTTACACTCTATAAAGGGCTGGGGGAGGAGATCAGGGACTGGCAAGGCGTTGAGGTGGAATGGGAAGGTGTAGTCTGCAATGGCTGAGGAGAGTGTGGGAGACCATAGACACGAGTCTTAGGATTTAGGTCTAAAAGCTAAAGCCGAAGAGTTGCTCACGATTCATTTTGTGTTTTTCCCCTTGTAAATCAAATCGCGTAGTTCTCCATATGGACTCTGTAGTGACGGCGCTAAGCTTTGTGATGATTCCTTGTTCCACTGTTAAAAGCTTAGACATGCAGGGCAGTGGTGGCGCACGCCTTTAATCCCAGCACTTGGGAGGCAGAGGCAGGCGGATCTCTGTGAATTTGAGGCCAGCCTGGGCTACAGAACGAGTTCCAGGACAGGCACCAAAGCTACACAGAGAAACCCCGTCTCCAAAAATCAAAAAAAAAAGCTTAGACATGCCTGTCCACTTAGGTTGGGGAACAGACTTAAAAATGGAGATTTTAAAAATATTTTTAAATTTATTTATTTTATTTTATGTGTATAAATATCTTGCCTGCGTGTATGGATGTGCCTGGTGCCCATGGAGATCAGAAGAATGCATCAGATCCCCTGGGACTAGGGTTACAGATAGTTGTGAGCCACCATGTGGGTACTGGGAATCAAACAAGTGCTCTTAAACACTGAGCCATGTCTCCAGCCCCAGAAATGAATATTTAAGATACTAAAATGACACAGGTAAGCTGTGATGGTGGCATAGGCTTGAATAATGGAGTTGGAGAAAAGTCAAGTGTTTGGATCAATCAAAATGAAAGTATTTGGGGCTGGAGAGATGACTGCAGTTAAAAGCATTTGCTCTTGAAGAGAACCTGAGTTTGGTTCCCAGAACCCACTTCATCTTGCTACTCCCAGTAACTCCAGTCCAGGGGATTTGGCGCCCTCTTTTGGCTGGAGCACACCAGCCATGTACTCAGTGTGCACATGCAGGCAAAATACATAAAAGTAATTTTTTTTTTAAAGACTGTCAAAAATTGAGCTTGGAAGTACAACATCTGGACCCCAGGGAAAGAGGCCAGCGGAGGAGGGAGAAGATCAGTCCACTAGGAAAAAGTGTCTGGAGAAATGGAGGGAAAGTGACTTTGTCAGATGTGCTGGGGCAGTAGGACAAAGTCAGAGAGCATTGGCTTCGGATCTGTCGGTATTGGAAAGTGACTTGCGACAGAAGCATCATGTGGGGCTGGGAATGTGGCCTAGTTGGCAGAGTGTTTGAACAGTATGCAATTCTTAGAACATATAAATAGGGGTTGGAGAGATGGCTCAGCAGTTAAGAGCTGAGCTGCTCTTCCAGAGGACCTGGGTTCAATTCCCAACATCCACATGGCAGCTCACAACTACCTATAATTTCAGTTTCAGGGATCTGACACCCTCTTACAGACACACAGGCAAGCAAAACACCCAATGCACATAAAACAAGGACCAATAAGTCATTTTAAAAAGTTTTAAAAAAAAACAAGCATATTACACAGGTATATAATCTCAATACTCAGGAGGGAGGTTGGGAAAAGAAAATGGGGAATTCAGTGTCATTTTTGGCCACTTAGTGGACTTGAGGTGAGCCTGGACTACATAAAAAAAAAGCATGACTAAGGCTGGGAACTGACCCAGTTGTAGAAATGCCTCACTCAAGCCCTGTACCTGTCATTCATTAGAGTTAGAAGCCAGCCATATCTTGATTGTGGTTTAAAAGGCATATGCTGCTTTGCAGGCAGAGGCAGGTAGATCTCGGAGTTCAAGACAGAGCCAGTTCCAGGACAGCTAAGGCTACACAGAGAAACCCTGTTGAAAAACCCCTTCCCAGCCCCTCCTCAAAAGGTGTATGTATGCTTGTCAAAACTTACCAAGTGTTCTTTGCTTGCCGTTTTATTGTGTGTGCAATTGCAGTACGCCAATTACAGCAAAGTGATTGTACATCTACACCAAAAAAATTCCAGTGGTTGGTTATTGGGATGGAATTCCTTATATCTGTATACCTATGTGTTCTGTGACATGTCAACCAAGGTCCAGTAATGTTACTTTTTCCTAAATTGACAGGCTGTGATGTCTTGTGCTTTTTTTGTTGTTTTGTTTTGTTTTTTTTGTTTTTCGAGACAGGGTTTCTCTGTGTAGTTTTAGTGCCTGTTCTGGATCTAGCTCTATAGACCAGTGACACTTCAGTCTTCACTGATGACTATTTCCTTGCCCCTTCTTACAGAAACCAGTCTATTTTGACCAAGACCATTCTCCACTTTTCACTGTTACCATGGTAAACTGATCACTAGAGATTCAGGCCAGCTTTGGTTACTTAAGATTTTATCTGGCCAGGAGGTGGTGGCACACGCCGAGCCAGGCAGATCTCTGTGAGTTCGAGGCCAGCCTGGTCTACAAAAGGAGTTTCAGGACTGTTAACACAGAGAAAGCTTGTCTTGCGGGGGGAAAAAAAAGAGGGTGAGAAAGTGGTGGGGGGTGATTGGAGAGGTGTACTGTTTTAATAAGTGACCAGTCAGGCATAATAGTGCAGACCTGCAATCCCAGCTCTCCCAGAGGCGAGGCAAGAGGAACTCCAGGAGTTCCAGGCCAGCCTGGTCTACACTGTGAGTTTCAGGCCGGCCAAGGACTACATAGTGAGACCGTCTCAACAGCACCTTAAACTCACTCAGCACTCAGCCAAAGGCAGTCGGATCTCAGGTTGGAGGCCAGCCTGGTCGACACGGCGAGTTCCAGACCAGGAAGAGTGACACAGTGAGATAAACGATGCTGCAACCACTTCTTCCTACCCAGAAATTATGTCGTTCCTTGGGTGTCACCGCGCGTGGGGGCCGTCACAACGCGCTGCCCACTCGCGGCGAGTCTGTGCCGTCTCGGCCACGCCCCCGAGGCCGCGGCACCACCACGCCCCCAGCCCAAGGCAAACGTTCGCGCACCAGGGTCGCCGGGGGCGGGGCGGGTGTCCAAAGGAGAGCCCGCCCATTGGCGGCCCCACGCCACCGGAAGCGGAAACAGAGCCAGACGCCTCCGGAGGACTCGTAACTGCCACCACGATGCCGAAGGGTCCCAAGCAGCAGCCGCCCGAGCCCGAGTGGATCGGAGACGGCGAGGGCACGAGCCCCGCGGGTGAGTGGGGAGGAGGCGGGGACGGGGGCGCCGATGGCGGCTGCCGTGAGGCATGGGTCCTGCGCATGTGCGCCGGGGCAGAGGCCGCGCGCCCCGGGCGCCCCAGAGCCCCGGGAGGCTGACGGGAGACGAGGACGAGCATATGGCACCGAGGAGGGACGGGAGGTGAGGATCCTGCCTCGACTCCCCGGTGCCGTATGCGTGCGCACCGCGGGAGCCCCAACTGCGCTTGCCTCCCAGAGAACCACTCCTCCGTTGGCCCTTTGGCGAGCCAGACTCGGTCCGACTGGACTGCCGCTGGCGTTGACTGCGTTAGGATAGGGCTGTGGTCAGGGTTCACTTAAGCAGTACTTGTGCGATGTGCTGTGGGTGTGGGATGAAGGGAACAAGAACTCTTTAAGAGGCTTGAAGACACGAGCGACTACAGCAATTCCACAAGCATTTGTTTTATTTGAAAAAAACTTTTTTTTTTAAAGACAAGGGTTTCTTTACATAGCCCTAGCTGTCCTGGAACTCACTATGTAGACCAGACTGCCCTCTGAAATCCGCCTGCCTCTGCCTCCCAAGTGCTGGGAGTAAAGGCCTGCGCCACCACACCCCGGTTTAGTTGAGATAAAATCTTTTTTGTTTTTGGTTTTGTTTTGTTTTTTTCAAGACAGGGTTTCTCTGTGTAGCCCAGGCTGGCCTCGAACTCACAGAGATCCGCCTGGCTCTGCCTCCCGAGTGCTGAGTGCTGGGATTAAAGGCGTGTGCCACCACCTCCTGACCAGATAAAATCTTAAGTAAAAGCTGGCCTGAATCTCTAGTGATCAGTTTACCATGGTAACAGTGAAAAGTGGAGAATGGTCTTGGTCAAAATAGACAGTGGTTTCTGTAAGAAGGGGCAAGGAAATAGTCATCAGTGAAGACTGAAGTGTCACTGTCCAGTGGCCTGGACCAGAACTGGAGACTGACTAACTAGATAAAGAGTAAAGACTGAAGAATTCCACTCTGTTAATCAAGATGCAGTTAAAAGAATAGAGTAGGTAGTATACTATTGATTGCTAGTAGTACTTGAAAAAAATATTTTTTGCTTTTTGAGACAGGGTTTTTGTGTGTAGCCTTGGCTGTCCTAGAGCTCACTCTGTAGACCAGGCTGGCCTTGAACTCACTGAGATCCGACTGCCTCTGCCTCCTGAGTGCTGCTGGGATTAAAAGCAGGCATCCCACCCCCAGTGAAAATAAAGTTGGTTTTTTTTGTTTTGTTTTGTTTTTTGAGACAGGGTTTCTGTGTAGCTTTGCGCCTTTCCTGGATCTCTCGCTCTGTAGACCAGGCTGGCCTCGAACTCAGAAAGATCCGCCTGCCTCTGCCTCCCGAGTGCTGGGATTAAAGGCGTGTGCCACCACCGCCCAGTCGAAAATAAAGTTTTTAACAAGAAAGAGAGTAGTAGTAGGCTGTAAGGTGGAAAGCATGCAAAGACTGATTGTGTTGGGTGTTTTGTGCCTGCATGAACATATGTGTGCCATGTGCGTGCCTTGTCAGAAGAGGGCACCTGATCCCCAGAAACTGGAGTTACATATGGTTGTGAGCTACCATGTGAGTGCTGGGGATCAAACCTTTGAAAGAGAAGCAAGTGCTCTGAACTGCTGACTCATGGGTCCAGCGCCTGTGTCAGCGTTTTTCTTGAGGGAAGAGCAAGTGTGGAGGTCCGTAAGTTGGTGGACAGCTTTGTAGTAACTTGTGTCCTTCCATCTGTATGTGGGTTTCGGGGATTGAACGTGGCTCTCTGAGCCACCTTGC